AAACCCTTCCACAGCACTGAAATGAGCACACAAATACCTGGAAAACAAAAATAGAGGTATACTGCCATAGATGCATCTTTTTGCTTACCCCTTCCTCCCAACTAGAAATAGCCTTTGTCAGGGCACACAGAAAAGCTATATTCACTATTCAAAGATAAAACAAATGAAAGCTAGAAGTGCTGAGAGTGATGGGAGAAACCTGTCCTTTATCCTCACAGATATACTGGAAGAAAAAAAAGAAGGCAATACATCATGCAGACCATATCAGCTGAAGAACAGGGAAACTGCCAGCAAGATGATGAGGTACAGCAGTACTTTATGGTTCAAGAACAGGTAAGCAAAAGCACAATGCAAGATGGAATCTTCTAGGGAAGAGTGAATGAGTTGCTACATGCAACAAACAAGGACTACAGCTGTACATGGGGGGTACTGCATACAGGCAGGTCATCTCCATGACTCATCATGGCTTGACTTCGCGAACGAAGATTTGGGAAGGGCATTTACCCACGCTTACTACAAGCGCGCTGATGACTAAGAAGGCCAATGTGGGATAGGCAAATCCGGCTACAAAAAGCACAGCAGAAGGTCTCCTTGGGTGGAACAGGTGGGACACGATTCTTCCTGCGTTGTCTTTTCTCCTCGAGACTAGTTCTTCGTGAACTCTCAAAGGAGTCAGCGGCATTATGTATGGTGTGCCTCCAAGTCTCCCGATTGGAGGCCAAGGTGGACCACTGATGGTAGTCAATATGGCCAAGGCTAAGGTATTGTTTCAGGGAGTCCTTGTATCTCTTCTTTGGGGCACCTCTCTTGCGGCTACCGGTGGCAAGTTCACCGTAAAACACGATCTTGGGGAGGCGGTGATCCTTCATCCTAGAGACGTGCCCTGCCCAGCGCAGTTGCAGTTTCAGCAATGTGGCCTCGATGCTGGTGACCCCTGCCTGTTCGAGGACAGTGACATTAGACACATAGTCAGTCCAATGGATGTTTAGAATTGTACGAAGGCAGCGCTGATGAAAGCGTTCCAGGAGTCGCAGGTGATGACGATAGATGACCCATGATTCAGACCCATATAAAAGAGTAGACAATACAATGGCTCTGTAGACACTGATCTTTGTACTTTTCTTCAGGTGTTTATTACACCAGACTCTTTTATGGAGTTTTCCAAAGGCACTATATGCCTTTGCTATTCTGTTGTCTATCTCTCTGTCGATCGTGGCATCCGAGGAAATGATGCTTCCCAGATAGCTGAACTTCTGAACTGTCTTAAGCTCTGACTCGCCGATGGTAATATGGGGATGGCGATAATCTTCTTGGGGTGCAGGCTGGTAGAGGACTACTGTCTTCTTCAAGCTGACTTCCAGCCCAAAAACCTCAGCCGCCTCCGCAAAGCAAGATGTTAAACGCTGCAGAGCTGCTTCTGTGTGGGCAACAAGGGCGGCATCATCAGCAAAGAGCAGTTCACGGACAAGATGGTTTAGGGTCTTAGTGTGGGCCTTCAGTCGCCTTAGATTGAATAGGCTACCATCGGTACGATATCGAATATAAATGCCGTCTTGTTCGTCAAGGTCTGCTGTAGCCCTTTGGAGCATCATGCTGAAGAAGATTGTGAATAAGGTCGGTGCGAGAACGCAACCTTGTTTCACACCATTGGTTATTGGGAAAGGCTCAGAGAGTGCATCACCATACCTGACTTGGCCTTGCTGATCCTCATGTAACAGAATAATCATTTTCAGGAACTTGGGGGGACAACCTAATCGTTCTAAGATCAGCCACAAGCCTTTCCTGCTCACAGTGTCAAAAGCTTTTTTTTTTTAGAATACTATTGAACAGACTAGTACCTGCCATCGCAGAAGAACTTCTACCTGAAAGTCAGTGTGGTTTCAGGGCTAATAGAAGTACCACAGACATGGTATTTGTTCTCAGACAATTGCAAGAAAAGTGTAGAGAACAGAATAAGGGGTTATACGTAACTTTCGTTGACCTCACCAAAGCTTTTCTCCATGACTATGCATACTTCATATAAGATAAAGGTCTCGCATTACTCAAATGTTAGCATGGAAGTAGAATTCAATGTGAAATACAGATGTACCCAGTTACAGCTCAGTAATGACACAGTTCTATGTTATTTTTCAGTTATCACAGAATAGTTTGGGTTGGAAGGGACACCTTCTGCTAGACCAGACTGCTCCAAACCCTCACCACCCTCATAGTGAAGAGCTTCTTCCTAATACAGAATCCAAATCTCCCCTCTCTGTTAGGGGTCTCCCTTAACCCTTCTCCAGGCTAAACAAGCCCAAGTCTCTCAGCCTCTCTTCATAGAGATCCTCCAGCCCTCCAGAACATACATATGCTCTAGAGGAACACCACAAAGGAGTCCAAGCTCAATTGCTTCCCCTAGGTTCTTGTTTATTTTTGGGGGGGGAAGGGGTTTGTCACTTTTGGTAGGTTTTGTCATTGTCAGGTTGGGTTTTCTTTGGTTTTGGTGGGGTGCTTTTGTCAGTTTTGTTGTTGTTTTTTTTTTGTTATAATTATTATTCCACTTTGGTTTTGTTCATTTTTTTGTTTGGGGGAGGGGGGGCTAAGTTTAAGAATATATATATATATATATAAGGATATATATATATATATATATATATATAAAAGGAGCTACAACAATCTATGTTGTAGCTCAATGTTATCACAAACCTGCCCCAACTAGACACCATTATTAGTTGTATCATATCAGGCATTTTAGAAAAACAACACAAAGCCAAACAAAACCCTCCCCAGGTGGAACAATATTTGGAAAGTTAACCCAGCTGTCACATCAAAACTGCATCTCAGCACTTCAAACTTCCTGGCAACTAGGAACAAAAAAAATAAGTTTCAAATTCAGCATTTCATCATTTATCCCTGCTGATCTGCAGATCTTTAAGATATTCATTAAAGCAGGTCTTAAGCAGGAGCTTCATTATCTTACTAAATCCAAGTACAACAATCTCCAGAAGTAATTACAGTACTGAGTTGATATTTGTTTATTCTTGGTAACCCAGACTACTGCTGTCAAAGTGAAATAATATCAACAGTCCAAGAGCCAACTACTATACTCAAGAATTCTGTATAGTGCTGCTGACAACCCTGATATCACCTCACCCCTTAATACCAAAGCCATTTCTTTGTTTAAAATTAAACCAAGATCACCTGAAGAGCTAACTACTGGCTTACTCCTAAGGCAAGCAAGAAAAGTAAAGCCTAGATCCAGTCCTTTTTACAGCTGACTGAAGAACAGATGAGAAAAATCACAGCCCAGGAAGAACTGCTGCTCACAACACAAAGGCTATTCAGAGTATAATACAGAACTGCATTCTGTTTTAAAGACTTACTATACCAAATTTAACACAAAGGGTCATGGCAAGCAGGATTACATACTTAAAGTACACTAGGAAAACATTAGCATACTGTTTCTATCCTCTAACATCACCTTCAAAATTAGACAACTATTATTCTGAAGCAGCAGTATTTACTGCCCCATTACACCTACAATAGACCTCTATAAAGTTTCGTTAAGAGCTCGAAAAGAGCTCTAGAACTTAGATACACATTTATATCAAGTGAATCTCCATATGACATATTTAGCTTCTGTCATATGAAGTACCTTCAAATTAAGCATTTTGTCTTTGCCACAATAAAGATTTGCTAAATACAAAGTCATCTCAAGTCCAGAAATATACATCCTACAGGTTGCAATCTTAAATCCACTGATACACACTAAGACAAGAAAGCTCCAATATTTTATTTATGATCATTTTCCAGCTGACAAAGGAAGAAAGCAGAACAGAAACTCAGGGAATTTTGGAACTGCTCTAGGGAAGAAAATACAAGCAGAGTATTAGAAGCAAAAAGTGAATAGAAAAAGAGAAAGAACAGAATTAATCATGAATTCACAGCATACTCATGATGTTCCCAGAAAGCTGCATCAAATCTAAGAGAATGCTAAAAATATTATCAGATAAGAGCTATAACATTTGATATAGAAATCATTACCAACACCAGTCAAATCTAGCTTGCACTATGACCGATAAAAAGTTTAATACCTGGGGTGAATGTGCCAATACAGAAATTAAGGTCATAAGCCAGAGGCAGTTTCTCCCCCCTAGAAATTATTTTAAGGATCAAGGGGCCAGGATATTCCTGTGCCACCTCTTCATATAAAAGCAGACCTGTGAAGTGATTTGATACTTGTTGCAGATAATGAACTTACACAGGCAGCTTAATAGAATTTCTGTAGACAAATTGAAAGCAGACTGCATTATACTTACAAACATAACCCTTACATCTCACACAGCAGTTGCTATAAGTTGAGACAGTCAAAGGGGTAGAAAGCAAGTTGATCACCTAAATCTATATACATATCAGGAACAGAAGAGCAGTTCCAGAAATACTCCAAGTTATTACATAAAAAGCACTTTTATTAACCAATAACAAATAATAATTACAGTAAGTAAACTGGTCTTCAGACAACCTGCCTCCAAAGACAAAATTCTCCTTCAAAAGGGAGAATGGATGCAGCTTGTACAATTTAAAAGAAACGAGATATAACTGAAAATAATTAGATGACTGAAGTGTTGAGGAAGGAAAAAGTCTTCTACTTTAAAGAAAAAAAGAGTAGGTTCCATTATGCCCCTCTAATTATAGACAGGGTTATTAAATAAAAGCAGAAGGCAGTGCTACAAACTAAGAACTATGCTAGGCAGCAGCAGAGCATGTAAAAATTGGAATCTACATAGTAACAAAAATTGAAACACAAACACATTACTAGAAATTGTGACCTTACAAAGCATGCAATTGTTGTAAGCAAGCACTATATAAAACCAAAATAGGTTTTAAGGAATTTTTTAAGGAATGAAAAGCATGCAACTGATTTTTTTTTTTTTTTTAATAATTTGTTCACAGGATAGGCTAAACATCCATTTAGTAATTTCTTAAGTGGTTATAACTATTTTGAACACGACAGCACTTACCTTGGTATTGTCACACATTTTGTATTGCAATTCTGGGTGGTAATGGCCTTCTCCAGCTCATCCAGCTGTCCTGTTTTCTTGAGCTTCTTGACCAAGCTTTTCACTGCTTTTTCACACCACTTTTCCTCCTGACCATTCTGCTCACCACCACCAGCCCCTCCAGAGCTACCAGCAGATTTTTTCCACCCCAGAAGTCTTTTCACAACTGGTGGGGTGAATGGCAATATGGATGACATGACTTTTACCAGATGGAACTCCCAGCAAGAAGTAAACTGGAGATTCCTGTCTGATCCCTAAAAACACAAACCAAAACAGACACATTACCACTAAGGTTTCCAATGAAACAAATACCTTGCTTAGGACATTTCTGTCGGAGACTTTATGTCGTCGCGATGCGGAGGGAACACAGCACAACCAATATGATTGATAGAAGTGATCCGTTTATTCTGCTTAAGCCTGGGGTTTATATAGAGCTAGGCTGTTATTCACACATATTCTTGGGAAATTTCTGTGGTTTTATTATTTACAAGCACATCCCATTTTCTAACCTCCTTATTCCTCCCTTCAAGATACTCGTTAACTACAAGGTCAGTTTACCCCCCTGCACAGCTGGTGTTTTTTACGGAGCTGGGTTTCTTACTGACTTTTACAAAACTGGTCCCTGGCCAAGTTCAGCCATGGTAACGTAACCCTTGCCTGCCAACCACACTTCCACACATTTCATCACCAAACGGCATAGGACACTGCATCCAAAAAACAAAAGCCAGATAATAGTTCATAATTAGCCTGCATCATGATCAGGAACCTCATTAATAAAGTTCTGATTCGGAGAAAACTCCTCGAACACTTGCCAACAAAGTTTGAGTTGACAAGCAGGTATTCTTTATTGTGGCACCGGGAGACAGGGGGAATAGCTCCTCCAAGCGTGTTTCTCCCAGGCATCAACCAGGCTGTGATTATATTGTCCTTAAACATACATATTCATTAGATTACATACATTACATCATACTTCTTAGAGAATGACTCCTGTATGCATATAAAAATGTGGTTAGTGGGCTTTCAGACCCCTGGTGGTTATTTCTTCATCACTTTGTTTTAGGATCGTTGTCATATCAGTAACCACCAGGTGGTTCTGGCAAAGCTTATCTTGGTAATTTTGTTTTCTCTATAGTTGCTAACAAAGCCTAACGTTCTTGAGGTTACTGATTTACAACCCTATTCTTCAATCAACCCCACCCTTCAGTTCAAATGCAAGTTTCCTGCAGACTCTTCAACAGTTAGTGCACACTAAGGTTATTGTTGCATGAGACACTTAACTTTTCCTCAAGCCCTTCCTGGCTAAAGTCAATTCCAGACAATACAGAAGTTAATTAGAGTCTAGCTTAATTAGAGTCTGCCTATCTCCAAATTAATTTAACAAGCAAAATTGTGTTTGGAATGTCATTTAGTCATTACAGCTTGACTGAAGTCTTCCAACAGCCAGCCATTTCACAAGTCTTTTCTCATTTTCTTTGTCATGTTTTCAATAACTACCAATTTTTGTTCCACAGTGGACACATTTGAAATTCAATCAAACTTGGTAATAAGCCAACTCCTTCAATCTAGAGTTCAGTAGCCTACAGGATAATGAATCTTTTCAACTTGCAAGTCATCAAGACTTCCAAGATTCATTAAAAGATATTTAAAATCTTAGTTTACATGAACTCAAGCAGCAAAACCATCTGGTTTTAATTTTGCTAGTGTTTCATTTGCTATCAACAATCCAGTCAGGATGTTTATGCAAAATGAAAGATCAGAAGGGATGCTGAAACTCACAATGTTTGGCATTCACTGCAATTTGCACTTCAAATGGGTTTAAAGAGAGATGCATTTTTTTCCAAATAGGTATCATCTTAGGTTTCTTGCAGCTTCTGTTAGACTAGTTTTAGGTATTAAAACATAAATCTGAAACCAACCATTATTTCAGGCAGACAGCTATTAGAAAATGCTTGAGAACATAATAGTTCCATAGATAGAAGCACAGCACTTAAGTCGAAACCAACCTTATTTCCAAGCAGCAAATGGATATTTGAACTCCTGAAAGTTATGTTATTTTCAAGCTGCTTAAGTTAGTTCAGTCACCTGAAAATACCTTGGTTTAGCTAAGAATCAACAAATCAAGAAACACTACATTATATTTGGCAGATAACTTTAATCATAACTTTTCAACTTCCACAGAATAGAATGTTCAATAGGAATATTTCAGTTTCAACTAAATTATACCTCCCATAAAGGAGCTTCTGAGAGCACCTAAAAATACAACTGAAGAACTGTGGTTGGGAGGTGTGTGTCAGAGACAGGGGTTCCAATTAACAGACACTTGAGAACAGTTACATTCAAAATAATCTATCCTAAATCAGAGAATCATAGAAGGGTTTGGGTTGGAACAGACCTTTGAAAATCACCCAATTCCAACCCCTGCTATGGGCAGGGACACCTTCCACTAGGCCAGGTTTCCTCAAAGCCCTATATAACCAGACTATGAACACTTCCAGTGACAGGGCATCTACTTCTCTAGGCATCCTGTTCCAGTGCCTCACCAACCTCATCATAAAAAAAACCTTCTTCCTTACATCCAATCCAAACCTACTGTCTTTCAAATTAAAAACTGTTGCTCCCTGTCCTGTCAGTAGAGGCCTTGGTAAAAAAGTCAAAACATTCATGTTCACACAAGACTAATATAACAAACTTTTATTCTTTCAATAATGTTATAGAACTGTCCCCAATATTTCAGACTCACAGTTTTCCAGATCACAAAAGCATTGTGCTGGAGCTCTAGCTACAGCAAACATCAAAAAAATAAATTCAATATCCAACATTTTCAAATTAAACACTGACTAGGACATTCAGGGTACAGTTTCAAAGGAAGCCAAGCCAATACAATAGTTTTCCCCAAACAGAAAGCACAGGTGTCCTTCCTTTCTTTCCTGTGGCCACCACCACCACCTCGGCACCAGTGCTAATACCTTTCCACAAAGGCTCAGCAAGATAAAGTAAAAACTGAGCATGAGCAACTTCTCCCCTGCCCCCCCCCCCCCCCCCCCAGCTCCTTTTCAGGTTAAATTATAGCAGCTCACACATGGTACTGTAAGTCACCAGAACTGATGTCACAAAGGAAATTAACTCTATCCCAGCCAAAATCAGGACAGTGAGCACAGGAGTGCAGATGAAGGCCTTCAACCCCAGCCTTCAACAGTGGTGTTAGCATTGACTGCATCACTGGAAATGCAAGCCAGGCATGTGCTTTAATTTTAATCATTTATTTTTGTGGCAAAGCCAAATGAAGCTTCTTTTTCCACATGTTCTGCACTGTTTCCAGGCAAAGAACTGAAACCCATAGTACACCAAGTAGCTCAAGGGATCAAACAGAAGGCTTATGTGGCCTCTGCTGTTTTAAGGTTTCCAAAAGAGGGAATGACAGTCACTCTGAGCTTTATAAAAACACTTCAACCTTTGAGCAAGGCCAACATTAGACACTTCAGAAACAAACTCAAAAAATTAAGAAAAAACCAAGCCAAACAAGAAAGCCTCTTTTGCTTCAAAGCTCACATTTTAAACACTAGAAACCGATGCTATATCTGAACATTAAATTCAATGCTGACAGATGTAGGCAACCAAATACTACTATCATTCTTTATCCACACACCAATTCTCCTGTTTATGGAGCCCACTGACATGCAACACACATTACTTCCTGTTCTTCAGCTTCAGAGTTGACATCTTTCAATGCTGATAACGATCCCTTGATTGTTAGCCTTTTAAAAAAAAATGTACTTCAGTAGGGTCTCAATTACCATTTCAGGAAATTTCTTATTCTTTCAGGCCTGCTAAACATTCTCAATGCTTTAATCAAAATTTTCACCTTTACAATACTCCTTGTGATGAGGTATCCAATTCTGCAATATTCTATCCCTTAACACATAATCCTGATATATAAAGATTTCTGTATTCTCTGGTGTGTTTTGTTGGTTTTTTTTAAGCCAAGACACTTAAACTAAACTAACCTCTTCCTTCTAACTATTGTTCTGCCACATCAGGGATTTACCAGAAGTATCAATAAGAATTTCACCATGTTATCCTAGTACCAACCCTGTATCTTTTAAAGGGCAATCAGAGATTGCAACGCAAGTAGGACAGGAATTCATTCAGCTTAATACTTCAGCCAATTGTGATGAGTACTCACAACTGCAATCAGCAAATCCACTTGTATCTGCAAAGCAGTGACCTTCTTCTGCTTAGTATTATGGACATTGCAGCATTGCTTCTTAAAACTAAAAAGACCTTTACATCCCCACAAAAGCATTGAATAAGCACTCCAAACCACAGCAGTTTAAGCCCTTCTCACCTCATTTGCTTTGACTAAATTTTCTATGTATAGCAGGCAAATACTGGTTTCACTGTTTTACAAAATAAACAGTCCTGGAGTAAATTTGACAAGATATATACACAGAACTGATTATGAAGTATGTAGGTGCTGATGCGCGGATTGACTCCACAACTCGTTAAAGCTGTAAAGTAGGTATGCTTTTATTCAGCGCTGAGACGCACGGGGATAATTCCTCAAAGTCATGCCTACCTCAGTGTTGTTTCCCTCTACATTTATAAGTTTGCACCATACGCCTATACATATTCATATCTTATCCTCACTTCTTATTACAATGAGCTAGAAGGTCCTTTGCACCTGAGCAGTGTCCCCTCTGGTCATGGGCAGGGGTCTCAAGATGAAGCAAATGAGTCTTCCTCCTGTGGGTAGGGGTCTTCAAGAGGAAGTAAATGAGTCTTCCTCTTCTGGAACTTTTCACCTTTTAGTCTTCACGTATGGCCTTAGAGTTTGGTCCCTGTCCCAGCCATAAACCATCTGCTTCTCCCCCTTAACAGATTCAGGGGTCTGCTTTTCCCTATCAATAGGTGCTTATCGGTAGAATCAGGTGTCTGCTTTTCCTTGTCAATAGAACCAAGTGTCTGCTTTTCCTTATCAATAGTTAGTGCCTTTGTTCTGCTTAGTAGGCATGACAGGTACAGACAATACCTTTGTTTAAGCAAGTGAATTCCTCTAACTCCCCTGTACAACCCCCTGTACATTGGTCAACCCTCTGCATCAGTGCCTGTTTCAGTTTTTCTCCATATAGCTTAACAGCTTGTCCACTTTGTTAAACCAGAAAGAATTGCATTTAGCAATTAGTTAATGCAAATTAACTTTCAATACAAGCCTAATGTTCTTCAAACAGTCCAGCCCCACAGCCCCTTAATAAGG